CCCACTGACAAAGAAATGATCAGTCTATAATTTTAATGGTAGGTTTATTTGAACAGTGAGAGACAGAAGAACCACAAAAAAATCCAGAAAGACGCATGTCAAAAATGTTATAAATTGATTTGCATTTTAATGAGGGAAATAAGTATTTGACCCCCTCTCAATCAGAAAGATTTCTGGCTCCCAGGTGTCTTTTATACAGGTAACGAGCTGAGATTAGGAGCACACTCTTAAAGGGAGTGCTCCTAATCTCAGCTTGTTACCTGTATAAAAGACACCTGTCCACAGAAGCAATCAATCAATCAGATTCCAATCTCTCCACCATGGCCAAGACCAAAGAGCTCTCCAAGGATGTCAGGGACAAGATTGTAGACCTACACAAGGCTGGAATGGGCTACAAGACCATCGCCAAGCAGCTTGGTGAGAAGGTGACAACAGTTGGTGTGATTATTCGCAAATGGAAGAAACACAAAAGAACTGTCAATCTCCCTCGGCCTGGGGCTCCATGCAAGATCTCACCTTGTGGAGTTGCAATGATCATGAGAACGGTGAGGAATCAGCCCAGAACTACACGGGAGGATCTTGTCAATGATCTCAAGGCAGCTGGGACCATAGTCACCAAGAAAACAATTGGTAACACACTACGCCGTGAAGGACTGAAATCCTGCAGCGCCCGCAAGGTCCCCCTGCTCAAGAAAGCACATATACATGCCCGTCTGAAGTTTACCAATGAACATCTGAATGATTCAGAGGAGAACTGGGTGAAAGTGTTGTGGTCAGATGAGACCAAAATCGAGCTCTTTGGCATCAACTCAACTCGCCGTGTTTGGAGGAGGAGGAATGCTGCCTATGACCCCAAGAACACCATCCCCACCGTCAAACATGGAGGTGGAAACATTATGCTTTGGGGGTGTTTTTCTGCTAAGGGGACAGGACAACTTCACCGCATCAAAGGGACGATGGACGGGGCCATGTACAGTCAAATCTTGGGTGAGAACCTCCTTCCCTCAGCCAGGGCATTGAAAATGGGTCGTGGATGGGTATTCCAGCATGACAATGACCCAAAACACACGGCCAAGGCAACAAAGGAGTGGCTCAAGAAGAAGCACATTAAGGTCCTGGAGTGGCCTAGCCAGTCTCCAGACCTTAATCCCATAGAAAATCTGTGGAGGGAGCTGAAGTTTCGTGTTGCCAAACGTCAGCCTCGAAACCTTAATGACTTGGAGAAGATCTGCAAAGAGGAGTGGGGCAAAATCCCTCCTGAGATGTGTGCAAACCTGGTGGCCAACTACAAGAAACGTCTGACCTCTGTGATTGCCAACAAGGGTTTTGCCACCAAGTACTAAGTCACGTTTTGCAGAGGGGTCAAATACTTATTTCCCTCATTAAAATGCAAATCAATTTATAACATTTTTGGCATGCGTTTTTCTGGATTTTTTTGTTGTTATTCTGTCTCTCACTATTCAAATAAACCTACCATTAAAATTATAGACGGATCATTTCTTTGTCAGTGGGCAAACGTACAAAATCAGCAGGGGATCAAATACTTTTTTCCCTCACTGTAGATGTGCAGAAGATGATGTGCAAATAGAGATACTGGGGTGCAAATGAGCAAAATAAATAACAATGTAAATAACAATATGGGGATGAGGTAGTTGGGTGGGCTAATTACAGATGAGCTGTGTACAGGTGCAGTGATCGGTAAGCTGCTCTGACAACTGATGCTTAAAGATAGTGAGGGAGATAAGTGTCTCCAGCTTCAGAGATTTTTGCAGTTTGTTCCAGTCATTTGCAGCAGAGAACTGGAAGGCATGGTGACCAAAGGAGGTTTTGGCTTTGGGGATGACCAGTGAGATTGCAGATGATCATTGGACATCATTAACAATAACTGCAAGAAATGCTCCAAAAATGTTTTAAAGCGGAGATTTTTATTAGTGCTGTAAATAATACAGTAATGCTCTGCACATAGTATGAGGTTAAAGTGCCTACCTTGATAGGGGACATCCATCCCACTCACTGAGGAATGTATTCAATCAATCTTATCACAGAAACAAAATCATCATCATGACGGTACATTTGTTTTGTTTAAGTCAACATCTCAATGACAAACAATTGGTCTCTTACAACATGTCGATTCTCACGGGATAATATTGTGCACACATGGATCATATAAAGACCAAAAAATCCATGACTTAGCTTATAGATTTGAAAGATTATATATTTAATTAAATGGCCCCCTTCATTAAGTGAAATACTTAAAAACAGTCAATGCTCTAAAATGCATCACTGTTAAAATACAAACAATCCTTTGTCCCTAGAGTAAAAATTTTCCCCAGATGGTTTAGCATTGTGCTTCTCACTAAATAAGGGCTCTATTGATTCCGTATCGTGGAAGTTCAGCATTACAGCGTGATTTAAATTTAAAGGCAATGTTCCCGCGTTATAGCGGAGACTGCATTCACGGTAAACGCTGCATATGTCGGCTCAATGGGAAATTACCTTTCAATTTCTATCGCACAATCTGTAACGCTTCAGCGATACAGATTGAATAAAGCCCTAAAGCACCAGCAAATTCGCTGCCAGAGCTCAGCTTCCCTCCCACAGCTAGTCATGTGACGCTATAACATTCAGTCAATGTGATTCACAATGACATATCCCAGTTACACAACATAGATTGCACTAAGGTTAAGGGTGGTGACTGAGTTACATATTCTTATATAAATATCTTAATCCATCTATTGGTTATATTAAGGGATGTATTTATATATATATTTATAAGTATACCGTTCTTTGGTTCACAAATACACTAAAATACCTTTAATATGCTTTTTCAAAACACAGTAGCATTATAAATACATGTAAGGGCACATTACAAATGGAATAGATAACAATTTCAGACATATACTTTCTTGATATAAATAAAGTGATTAATCTATTAAATTCTTATATTTAGTGGTTTTTATAATTATTGGAACATGTGTTACTGAAAAACTAGGACATATATATTTGCCACAAAAGCAATGTAACAATACTCTACACAATCTACACAAAATTCATTAGCTCTAAAAACGCAGCAATAGAATACAGTACATGTTACAATGACTGTTACATATTCCCTCTACTTAATATGAAAGGGGAAAACCAGCTAAGATACAATGTGGTGTTGCATACGGTGCACCTGGCTTAATAATTACATGGACAACACACAGCACCAAAATTCAGTACATTATAATATCTATATACAGTACCAGTCAAAAGTTTGGACACACCTACTCATTCCAGGGGTTTGCTTTATTTTTACTATTTTCTACATCGTAGAATAGTGAGGACATCAAAACTATGAAATAACACATATGGAATCATGTAGTAACCAAAAAAGTGTTAAAACAAATCAAAATATATTTTATATTTGAGATTCTTCAAATAGCCACCCTTTGCCTTGATGACAGCTTTGCACACTCTTGGCATTCTCTCAACCAGCTTCATGAGGTAGTCACCTGGAATGCATTTCAATTAACAGGTGTGCCTTGTTAAAAGTTAATTTGTGGAATTTCTTCCCTTCTTAATGCGTTTGAGCCAATCAGTTGTGTTGGTACAAGGTAGGGGTGGTATACAGAAGATAGCCCTATTTGGTAAAAGACCAAGTCTATATTATGGCAAGAACAGCTCAAATAAGCAAAGAGAAACGACAGTCCATCATTACTTTAAGACATGGTCAGTCAATTCGGAACATTTCAATAACTTTTAAAGTTTCTTCAAGTGCAGTCGCAAAAACCATCAAGCGCTATGATGAAACTGGCTCTCATGAGGACTGCCACAGGAAAGGAAGACCCAGAGTTACCGCTGCTGCAGAGGATAAGTTCTTAGAGTTACCAGCCTCAGAAATTGCAGCCCAAATAAATGCTTCACAGAGTTCAAGTAACAGACACATCTCAACATCAACTGTTCAGAGGAGACTGCGTGAATCAGGCCTTCGTGGTCGAATTGCTGTAAAGAAACCACTACTAAAGGACACCAATAAGAAGAAGAGACTTGCTTGGGCCAAGAAACACCAGAAATGGACATTAGACCGGTGGAAATCTGTCCTTTGGTCTGATGAGTCCAAATTTGAGATTTTTGGTTCCAACCGCCATGTCTTTGTGAGACGCAGAGTAGGTGAACGGATGATCTCCGCATGTGTGATTCCCACCATGAAGCATGGAGGAGGAGGTGTGATGGTGCTTTGCTGGTGACACTGTTGGTGATTTATTTAGAATTCAAGGCACACTTAACCAGCATGGCTACCACAGTATTCTGCAGCTATACGCCAACAAGTGCTCAGCATATGTGGGAACTCCTTCAAGACTATTGGAAAAGCATTCCAGGTGAAGCTGGTTGAGGGAATGCCAAGAGTGTGCAAAGCTGTCATCAAGGGAAAGTGTGGCTACTTTGAAGAATCTCAAATATAAAATATATTTTGATTTGTTGAAAATGTGTGGATACTACATGATTCCATATGTGTTATTTCATAGTTTTGATGTCTTCACTATTATTCTACAATGTAGAAAATAGTAAAAATAAAGAAAAACCCTTGAATGAGTAGGTGTGTCCAAACTTTTGACTGGTACTGTATATATTACAATACTGTATATGTCTATGCCATGAGGTCCCTTGCATTGTCCTCTGTCTCTACTGAAAAGGTCTCTCAAGGTCACTCAGTATGTGAATATGTATTCTCTTACATAGGCTATATTGTACAATAGTTAAATCTAACAATGGCATAGTCACTGCTAAAAGACAGAACAGACAGGAAACATATAAGACGCATCACTTGCTTAATATTCTGAAGGTTACCTGTGGTCTAAAAAGACCTACAAGCAGCTGAAGTTTCAAAGTCCTACATGATTGGTCAAGAGACAACAGGAATATGAAGCTCAGTGTAGCTCAGGGTCTTTTTAGAGCTGGACATGACAAAGCTGAGAACGAAAGATCAAAGGGCAACATCTTCCTAATGGGTGTGGCCATTACAAGTCCTGCCCCAGTCTCTCAATCTCATCGGTCAAGAAGTCGATATCTGACCTGGTGGCGGCAGGATTGGAGATGACCATGCGGAAGAAGTTGACCTTGTCTCCCTGAGGCTGGTAGCCCACCATGGTAGTTCCAGATTCCATCATCATCGCCTTGATCTTAGGGGCCACCTGGTTTAGACAAGGACAATTCAGAGAAATGTACAGTAGGTCAGTGCTGTCTCATCTGATTACAGAATATAGTCTTCATGGGCCGAAGCTGACAAGTCCTTTACTCCTTACCTTATGCAACCTCTCCCTCTTCTCCTGACCATCGGGCATGTCACGAATGCCTGGCGGAAGGTACCAGAAGCAGACATTCGTGTGCTGGGGCTGTGGAAAGAAAACAGCAACATTGTTCGTCAGTGTCTTTACTCAATGGAGGGTCTAAAGAAGAAGTAGCCAACCTCACTAAGAGGCCAAATTGAGATTTGAGGCTCTGCAAGGCAAGTTCATCAATCCACAACGAGTTCAACTGGGGATTCTAAAGCATAGCACCACCTCTACAGGCAGACAGGGAGGAGAGTTGGCCTGCCTCACTACATTGTGTTGCTCAGAACACTATTGGGCATCTCAGTTAATGAGTTCATATTAATCAGATATGTCATTCCTCTGACGCTTTATTAGGGTAATCCATTAGAAGATATTACTGTCTTTGTAAACAGAACCAAGTAGAAAATGAAGGGAGAAAAATCTCACCTCTCCATCGAACACCATCTGATAGCCCTCGCGGTCCTTGATTTTAGTGTAGAGATAATGCGAGAGGTCCAAGCACTTGTCGATGTGCTGTTCAAACCCTATTGTTCCCTGTTGGAGCGGAAAAATACAGAACATAGAAAGATCATTAAAATCAAGCGCTACTCTTTTTCTGTTCCATGAGCCAAGATCAGCATCCAAGATCAATCCCTGTTACATGCTAAAGCTTTAAAGCCTGATTAAGTATTGCAATAAAAGCTTGGAGAGATATGTGCACATTACCTTTGCTTTCCACATTAGCCAGAATTTAAAGATATCTACATGTCGTCCACACTGGATGGCCTTGTCCCCTGTGTCGTATGATACATCGTACTGTTTGTCTGGTTGGAAGAGGTAGCCAGCACACATGGAGTTGCAGCCTGATAAAACTCCCTGTAAAGATCAATGGTGTGGTTAAAGGACAATGGCGAAATGCAGAGACTTAAAGTTCAATGGTGCCTTCAAACTGGGCGATATTCATAACAATAGTTGCCAACTCTCTGTGACTTGTGACTTAAGTGTGTTTCATGGCATTCACACCATAAGTGATAACCCATCTGTCAGTAGTGCTCTTACCCTCTCTCTGACCAGAATGGCAGAGCACTGCAGTGGCACACCCATCATCTTGTGAGGGTTCCAGGTGACTGAGTTGGCCCTGCAAACATGGAACACAGACTGTAAGACAGGCCACAGTCCCCGTCAATGAGTGTGTGTGATTGGTTTAATAAGGGTCTCTTCCCAGGACTGCAGCTTACCTCTCTACACCACTCAACTTGTGCCTGTGCTTCCTGGACATCAGTAGCCCTCCTCCCCATGCACCCTGAACAAAGACAACAGTTTGTTTTGAGGATTAGACATGAAAGTGGCTTATATGTTCAAATGAAAGCTCAGCCGACCATGAAAATGTGTTGCAATCAACCCTGAAATTACCTATATTATCATAACCTTCCTGTATTCATAGTAGGAAGATGCACTTACATCCACATGTAGCCACATGTTGTATTTCTCGCAGATGTCTGCAATCTCGTGGATGGGATCGAACGCTCCATACACTGTGGAACCAGCTGTAGCATTCACGAACATTGGGACACAACCCTGCAAGCATACACCATCAGAATGAATATGGAGTCTTGTATTATTGGAGTGAATTGAAATAGTTGCATTCCTCATTTTCTGTAATCTTTGACATAATATAAATTGGTTAGAGCAGATTTCAACGACATTGGATTATTTCTCTTGGCAAGCCTTTGTCACAGCAGAATTGCATGCCCATTACAGACAGCCTGCTATCACCTCTCTCCTGTAACTGAACTAGCTTCAGGAGACTGTGCTTTGGAACTAGTGGCAGTGGATAAGATAATACTTGAGGAGGCATAAGCACTAACCCTAAAATGAAAGTAGACATGTTTTTATTTTGTAAACAAGTAAGATTACTTGATGTCCAGAGTATTCAGTTGACTGGATTCATATTAGGCAGCTGTTCTCATTAGAATTCAGTTTCAGTGCATCGCATCATTGTGCAGAAACAAACGGAGGGTATTTAATGTCTTCAGGGGGTACGAATCCGCAATTTGAAGTTGATTGGCTGACGGTTTGAAACTCACCCTCGCCTTGGCATCGATGACCTTAGCTTCCAAATCAGCAGGAATGACTCTCCCTCTACAGAAGCAAACAGACATGTCAAAGTGGATGTTCTCACGGGGTTGTTTCATACAGTGCAGTGTATTGGACATGGCTCCACAAACCTCTCATCTGTGCTCAACAGGATCAGGTTTTCTGTTCCAAAGCCCAGAGCAGCACTGGCTTTCTTTATAGAGTAGTGGCTCTGCCAAAACACATGAGCATGGCATTAGACTACTAACCTATCAGCTGAGCTCTGACATACAGTCAGCTGATGTACTGTCCAATGGTTGTATCAGTTTCAATGAGGGTCATTTTTTTTGCTTTGAATCAGGCATGCCACAAACCCTTTATACAGAATAGACAGGGTGAACCAAGCAGTGACAATAAATAACAATAATACTTTGTTTTGGTAATACAATACTGTTTCTGAGACTGGAGACATGTTCTGTTGTGAAAATGAATGTTCTGCTCAGATGTTAGGATAAGATTTACATGCTCTGAGGTGAAGAGCACCAGTCTGGGGGCAGCAGTCATGCCTTTGGTCTTGACTTCAGGGAAGAACTTGTAGCGTGCGATCATCACACTGTACATGTTGGATATCGCTCCACCTGCACAGATGTTGCATACAATCTTTCACTAAACTGCATTCTATTATCATCTGAAGGCTTGTGTAAGGAATATTCATCTGTAACGGTAGGTTTATTCCCATCTCAGATTCTCAAGGCATGGCTGAATTCATAACCGTTCATCAGAATTGGCTTCGCACTCACCTGGTGAGAATATCCCATCGCCCTCTCCATTTGGCCAGCCAATGATCTCCCTCATCTTCTTCAGCGTCAGCTGTTCCATGAGCACGAAGACTGGGGCGATCTCATAGGTGAACCTGAAATACAGAGCACCTGTCTCCAGTTACCCACTACCAATAGAAATCCATTCTATCGTTGGTCTTGAACTCTCATATTGTTATTTGTTTCTCATATCTACATTGTCTATATTGACGTAAACAGAGTCAATGAAGGCAGGTGGCAAAATCCCAGGATAATGCATCACCATGCATCACCATTGACTCTTTTTTCTTATTTTTTGTGCAAAATATTTAAATGTAAATTGTGTTACATATGTTTCTTATTGTGTATATTAAGCAATGCCACATTGAAGTCAGAGAAAAGCATGGAACACGCATACTACTTTTAACACCTTCACAATTCAACGATAGCTCTGTCACATTGTATTAGGGATACCATTTGTTGCAGTGGAAAGAGAAAGAACATGAATGTCACATAGTCTGAAGTCCATTAAGAATATGCCACCAAGAGGGAGTGCTTGTCTCTGAGTTAGCAAGAAGAAGAGGCTAGAAACGTGATGTAACACAATGAGAGCGTCATTGCCTTTGTGTCTGAGGTTTGTCTGGAGGCCAGCTTCCACTGAGCTTGTTTTGAATGTGTTTTTAATACAAACAGCATATTACCCTCATGGCCCGTCACTGAGAGAGTAATGATGGAAGAATGGTCATTTCTCCTTTAGAATAGGAATGATATCATTACAATCATGTTTATTCAATGAAATCACAATTACAAAATAAAGGATTGTTTCCATATCATTAGAAACTTCCTCCAGGGTAGTGCAATATCTATGTAGAATTAAATGGATCCCCAACTACCTCATCCATCTTCACTATGTCCTGCCCAATGCTCTTCTCATTACACTGCCTGTCTATTCATGCAATGAGTCAATGCATTAGTGGGGCAATGCAGTGTATCACACTGTGCCATACACACAGCACATATTTGTTTTTAGTTCTCTTGCTGGCTCATCATCTCCAGTAAAAATGTTCCAAAAGAGTCAGGAGCTATTTGGAGTTATGTCCCAAATGATTTTTCGCTCACTCACTTATGTAGAGTAATCCTGATGATAGCCCTGGGACATGATTGTCAACCTATTAGTGGCAATCAATACGTGTCAGGGGTAATTAATGATGATGGAGTAATTAGCTAAGGCAAATAACAAATATGTATGCAGTCAGAGCCCACCCTCTGATTCAACTCATCTACAGTAGTGTTGACGTGTAGCATATGCAGGGGTAATAATCTGCCCAGTAGATCTTCAGCACTACATTTATCCCATGAGCTGGACCAACTAAACACTCTTCAAAACACTGGGGGCAAAGCGGGATAAATCCTTTGAGGATTACAATACATAGAAGGTCGAATCAGCCAGGCCATGTGTTGAACCTTTAATTAAGTCAGGCACCAGGCAAAATAAATAATTGATTCCCTGACATGAAGAGGACCAGCCTTGGTGGTGAGCTCATATTTCTGTGCTGTGTTTAGAGACAAAAATGGCAATTGACCATGACCACACAGATCACTCTGGCTATTACCACTCAGAAATGCAATGTTTCATCAATGCTTACAACACAAGTGTATTTTTTTGTTATGATGATTTTACAATGCCCTGACGGGTTCCCAGGCTGACATCATAGACAAGATCAGCATGTTACAGCAGCCGATACACTCTGACCAGTGCCTTAACTGACTTGGCAGCCTCAGCTGGTAATCTGTGTGTACTGGTCAACAATAGTCCATGGCCAACGAAGCATCAACTTTTCTCTTGGACAAGTCCCTGGACACCTGGTGTATCACCATGCTGTCTCTTCCAGATTGCCTTTCCCATGGAAAAAGCAATATTGAATCACAGTCTATTGTTCACATTTGTGCAGAAGATCTCAGGGACGTATCTCATTCTGTTGTGGAACCATTATCTCTGATGTAAAGAGCGTTCCATAAAACAACCACCCCATATAACTTTGAATGCTAATCAATATGTAATTTAGTTTGCCTGCAGGGCTATATTATCTGACTACAGCCACAGTGTTGGTCAACAACAATAATAAAGCAAACAGATAGCGAACTCACAACTCTAATATTTTACTTGCTTAAAAGAGCATCCTCAGGATCCTTCATTTAGAAGCTTATCAAGGTCCCCAATTATGTCACTTCCACTGATCTTCATCTTCAACCAAAATCTTCTGAGGCCATTTGAAATGGTAGGAATTTTAATTTTCCTGTTATGCAACTCTTACTTTGATCATTGGTTTAGGCACATTGTTTACAAAATTGACAGGACTACTTTACTACTATACACATATTTACAAAATGTAAAGTTCCTGTGACTTTCAATCATAAACATATATACATGTATCATAACAAATGTATAATAACTGGGGGGCGATAAAGACCACTCACATGTTAGTGTTTGCAGTGGAGGTGAGCCATTCTCCTGACAACCCAATGATGTCTAAGCCAGTAGATAGCTGATTGAAAAACCTAGGGTGACCTGGGAGGGAGACAACACCATTTGTCTTTAATACATTTCTCATGAAAGCTTCATCATTCAACTATGGGCTTATCTGTAATCATTAAACCACATTGTAGACAATGAGAGATATTGATTGTGCTGGGGGATTAGCTATGCTTTATGCCTCTGTCTCCTCTGTCCTCACCTGTTCTCACTCCATATTTCAGGGTATCCCTACAGTCCACCAGGATCTGCTCCAGGGACTCAGGCTCGTCGGACAGCTCCAGGTTGAAGCCCTCCATGCCCTCCAGCAGCTGGTGGGGGTGGTGGAAGTCCAGGACTTTGGTGGATCTGTCAAAGGTCTTCCGGACGTAGTTTGTGAGAATATCCACCACCTCCAGCAAAAACTGCATAGTTGGCTCCTCTCCATTTTTGGCTGGTAATAAATCTAGGGTGAGAAATTGAAGCATGTCAACAATATTAGTGTTTTTCTCATTTTTTTTCCAAAAATAAATCAATAACTTTTGTTTGCATCCTTCATCACTTGAGGATGTTTTTAAGAGCTTACTTTCACAATCTTCTGTAGAATTTGTCATGACTTCATTCTACTTCCCATCTTGTAAACTATTTATTTGGTTTTCCTCTCTAAAGCTGGTTAAATTATATCAATGGCCCCTTGTAGCTCAGTTGGTAGAGCATGGTGCTTGCAACGCCAGGGTTGTGGGTTCGTTTCCCACGGGGGGCCAGTATGAAAAAATGTATGCACTCACTAACTGTAAGTCGCTCTGGATAAGAGCGTCTGCTAAAATAACAAAACAAAAATAATAATTTGAAAGTCATTTTCAGCAACAATGAATTACCCTTTTTGGTATTTCTCCAGTGAGTGTCCCTGAGTAGCCTATGCTATTCTACAGCTATTACAACTTGACCTAGCAGGTTATTATGGTAAAACAAATGGTGAATATACATTTTAAATAGGCATAGCAATCAATTCAACTTAAATTACTAACAACCTAACGATTTGGGGTTTTATTATTTTTCACAAAAGGTTAAAAATACCTTGAACATTTTATCATCAAACATTACTAAATGGAAAGAAATAACAGAGATTTAGACCAATTATAAAGATTTGGTCAATCAGTATTTTCAAATCAGATCAAATCAGGCTAATCTTCGCATCAGTAACAACATTTAAGATTTTAAGTTGACTCATGTTCCATTTATTGTAAAACAACTGAACAAAACGAACATTAACAAGTTCCCTACATCATTTTGATTGATAGGCCTACATTTCCCATAATGAAAATAATCCGGACACTTACCTCTAGCAAATAGATTGGAAAAGTCTGTTTCGGTGCGTCTGAAACGGGAATCCCTGTCGCTGTTATCCAGCAGGTCCTTAGACGATCTTTCCTTGAAGGAACTAATCTTCTCCTCGAGGTTGTTGTTCTTCTGCAAAAATCCTAAATTGTTGCAAGGGGCAGAGGATTGAAATGAGTGATTACTATCATCACTCCCAATCCCAAACATTTTGATGACACCCTTTTTACACAAAACACATGCCTAAACTCTCACTGATTGAGCTGACAATGATGTGGTGTAGGCTAGTTTTTAAGTAATTCCCATCCTGTCCAGGGAAGCCTTTTTATGGGAGGAAGAGTCAGTGGGAGGTTGAGCCCAGTGACAGCAGCACCAAAAGCCAGTCAAGCAAAAACAAATAGCCGTCATTTTGTGTAGCTGTAAATTCGTATTAATTCCCTCCGACAGATTCCACTTCAGTAAGCAGGGAAGAGCGCACAATGAAGTCAACCGATGTCATTAAAGCCTGAAGGCAGACCTAATAGTTGGACTGGGCTGTGATGATATATGGGACATTTTATAACCTATCTGCTCATAGGCCTGTGGAGAACCCCACATTAACTCAAATCTTATTTTACCTATACCGATTTCTCACCCCAAAAACGATTTTTTTTTTTTTTTACCAAAATTGATTTCTAGATTGGCCCTTATAAAAAGAATACCTATTCCAAATCTCCTGCTAAGATTATTAGTAATACAAATTCCTACAATGTGATCTTATTTATGATCTTATTTTACAATCAATAACGCAATTTTTCAGTTAAACTAGCTAGGCCTACAAGAAACTCAATGATATACCATCGCCCACACCCTTTGGAGTAATACATAAAACTACATAAAAGTATATAAAAAGATGATAGTTGAAAGTATTTTTACTGTTAATTCATTTTATTTCGTTTTTAATATAGACTAATTTAATTTAATTGTATTATTTCACTTTCAGCAAGGATATGTTAGATTATAGCCTGAATACGCATGCTCCTGTCTCATGTGAAGTGATATAAAACCAATATAAAACCAACATTTCACTAGGTCAAGCAAGAGGGATAGCTTATGATGTTGTTTTTGGACCAATATCATTGCACTTAATAAACAGAGATGAAAAGTGGAAAACGGGCCTATAGGCCTATTACCTGATGGTGAATCAGATAAAACCAAAACGTAAAAATTGCGTAAATATCGCATTAAAACATTAAACTTGATTTATATTTGCATTAGGCCTATACTGTTGGTGCTTGATTGGCCCTGATGGAACAATAACAATAGACTCAACGCTTGGCCATATCAGATAGGGCTAATGCATTTTGCTCCCACTTAATCGGTGCGTATTGTGGAGAAGACTGACAGTGGACCTACTATCTCTGCAAAACAGAACCTTGACGAATTGCGATTTCAATTCCCTGGAGTAGAAAAGATAACTATCATGATGAGAGTAATCTTTTCTCTTCTGATGGACTCGCATCATGATAAGGACCGATACCAATCATTCCACCAAATATAGCTTTAATAATTGACACCCGCTCAGTTATCCAACTATAGGCTACCGATATATTTTGAAAAAAAGACAAAGACAGGTACGTAATAAGATATTAAGATTTGCCTCAGCAAATATAAAGATAGGCTATCTTACTTGTGGATTACTACAATGAATGTAGTAAAATCAACTGTACATGTTCATGTTTCATTCAAAATTACCTAAAAATAATGAAAAGGGGGTTGCATAATTTAGCCGGCTAATTGTTTATTCCAAGGTCATTAAGTATTGGCAAACATATATATTTTTCCAGGTAGGCCATAGGAGGGCGCAAGAGTACGATTTTATTAAGAATTATATATTTTTTAAAGCAAGGTAAGAAAACACACACATTGAAAACATACCCAAGACTGAAGAGATCTCATATTCCATTTTGGGACGTGCCAATGTAGACATATAGTTATTTTTGGACCAATAGCTAGTCTCTGCAGTTTTTCAAACTGCTTTTAATATTTATTAAAAAACAGGGTTGTTACTATAAATTCAGTGGTAATAATCAATATTGACATTCTTTCAGCGTGAAAACCCACTCATGCGACAAGAGAAAGCAGAATGGGGCAGAAGGCATTCAAAGAGCAAGTAATCACAGCCGCCCAGGCTGCACAGTCTTTGTGTATTAGCCGAAAACATTATGGCTAATAGCCTATTCCTCGGATATCAGAATGGTCTGCTTGCTCGGCGTTGAGTAACAGATAAAATATGCAACATAGCCTACATTATGTAACCTATTATGTTTTTTCTGTTGCATTCTAAAAGACACATAAGAACAAAAGCCTACATGAAGATTTATTATGAAGTCCACGAAAATACATGACATGAAAATAGTTAACTTACCACATATCTTCATTCCCAATTTTCTAGAACATCCATGAGCAACTCCACACCAAGCGTCATAGCCTAAAATAATTTTGGAAAACTATTGAGAAGGCCCTTACATTAGGCCTCAAGTGCATATTATTTCTGCAAAAATACTCCCAAACTCAGTGATGGATGGGAAAATGTTGAAGCATGTTGCATAGAACAATGCATAAGATTATCAATTAACATTTAACTGGTGAGAAGATGCTAAAAAGATCAGACATGCATCACCAGAAATTGGCCAGTGACAAAAAGAGCTGAGCATTTCGCCGCTATGAAGGGCTTCCAGGTATTAAATTGGGGAGGTGGGGAGTTGATGTGTGTCTGTGTGTGAGGATGAGGAGGAGGAGGAGGAGGGGGGGGGAGGGGAGTTTAGTCTAGGTCTAGGAATTTAAGAATTCTGTTGAAATTGACCATGGAAAAGCGGCCAGTGGAAGGGACAGACAGCTCCACACAGAATCCCAGTTTAACCCCTGCTTAGGATCACAAATCAAATATATCTGGACCAAATCTACGCCAATGTTACACCCATGAAGGCAAATGCAAAGGCAAGCGAAATATCTGAAATAAGACGTTTATAATTCCAAATAATTATGCCAATTATGGGTGGAATAAGCTTGAGGTCCACGTGCATAATTCGGATTTTCGCGTAAATCATGCATTCATGTCAATAGAGATATAGACAAAATTGAAGTTGCACATTCATGGATGTAGTCTAATACTGGCATGACACCAGTCTAATGGCTTTGGCACACCCAAAGCACAGTTTTGCAAGCAAATTCAGCACTGACTGAATCCCTTTTCTGGTGAGAAAAACGGAGGTGCAGTTTTGCTACATTTATAATCTGATCTGACGTAAATTAAAATGTTGTGGTTTAATCGTTTACATTTGCAAATGCATAATTTACATTGGAGTGTTGTCAATATCAAATCAGAGCTTTATGATTGTATGTGAGAAAAATAAGACATTTATGGCGAGCTTTGCATCAAAATATGAATGTCCTTGGACAACTAATTGGGATGTAGCCTAGGCTATAGGTTAGTTATATTTTTCTTCAATAGCTCTTGGATAATAAAAAGTATTGAGGCAGAGTTGTTGGCCGCTTACATCTCTACATCCCCCCTCAGCTGATGGTACAATAAGGTGCTTGAACACATGCCATTAGGGCCAATTTAGTGTGGCTACAATTAACGCCACTTTGCACATAATAAATTACCCTTAAATTCACTCTCACTTTTTATTCAACCACGACGGAAGAAATACACAGAAAAATATAGCCTACTATAGTCTCTTTATGGAAGGCAATAATTATAATAATTATAATAATAACAACAATAGGCTTATAACAGCCTAATAATAATTCAAGAAGGCTGTATATTATTTTGGAAGATTATGCTAAATTCTTTGGGGATTTTTTTATTTATCAATACCCACAGGATGGTACTAGCCTAGCCATTAGTCTTTTCTAATTGCTTTCAGTTCATGTTTTAAGAGGACATCACCTATTTTGACAGCAAGATTCGTCTATCAAGCAGATGCCGGGAGGTCCGCTGCGCATACAATGTTGCGGTGATTTGTTGGGTGGGAGGCGTTTAGAATGGTACAGTTTTTTTCCTCCATGGAAATGATTAATGGCATTGCCCACAAAGTAAATAGCACAAGTGAAATAGCGTTTTATCTGTGATGGACCTACTTGAGCCTGGTGGTCGTAAATTTGTCGAGTTGGGATCCGGTTCGCTGCCAGACGAGGAAGGTGCAGACGCCGCCATCACTCCTAAAATACAGTACAAATGTCCTCACTCCAAAGCTCGCTGTCACTTTCTGCGGAACCTCGCTTATTTTATTCAAGACGAAAAGTCACATTCACAGTAAGGAGAGTAGAAATAATAGCTGTCTCTGAGCCATAAAATATATAGATAATGACATGCCTAACTAGGCTATTTTAAATGTATGAATAGGATATGTTAAGATCGATCCCTCATCCAAACGCTGACAGAAATATCCACAACTACGAATAAGCAAGGAGACAGGACACGACAGACATGTCTACGACATCGTCTGGCAGCCAGAGTAGCCTACAATTCTTCTCAAACATCAATTAACAGGTTGGCTGAGGCTGCAGTGCACATTATTTTTTCCTGAATCCATAGGCTACAGATAAGAAAGTAAAAAAAGGCAAAATAACTTATTGGTTATAAACACAATACATTTCATTAGGCTTTATCAAATCAACATCGACAATGATGCTCATTAATCCTCACCAATACATTCGATAACCTGATCTCTGATGTCAATGTGGATAATGAGGCATCACTGCAAGTGTATTTCTTTGTTTTCAGAGAGTTTGATATGTATCTGCCTTTTATGAATAGGAAGGTAACCCGGGAAGTTGGGCAACAAATAGTTTAACCCTAAAACATAATGTATTGAAAGTGAAAAAACAGAATTAGCCTTGATAAAAGATAAAAGATAAACTATGCGAGTGGCGCAGCGGTCTAAGGCACTGCATCTCAGTGCTTGAGGCGTCACTACAGACCCCCTGATTCGATTCCAGGCTGTCTCACAACCGGCCGTGATTGGGAGTCCCATAGGGCAGCGCACAATTCGCCCAGCGTCATCCGGGTTTGGCCGGTGTAGGCCGTCATTGTAAATAAGAATGTGTTCTTAACTGACTTGCCTAGTTAAATAAAGGTAAAAAATAAAATAAAAAATAACAGCTAATCTGGTGATTTATCACATAGGCAAGTTAGATGAACTGTCAAACCTCAGATAAATTAAGTATTAATTTGATAAATAATGACAAAAAAATATGTTATGTTTACATAATTGATTGACAAACAGGATAGCGACTCCTCAATTAAGAGGATGATTTGTAAATAATGATTACCCTTATCCAGGTCAATGTCACTTCAAGGGAAAAGCATGTCCATGCAATGAAAAACCCTCCGTCAAAGCTCAAAGAACTGTAGTTTAATGATAACACCATTTTATATCTATCAATAACTTTAATATCGGCAAACAAATAATATGCATAGCCATAATTCTATGTGTCTATCTTACAAAACGTTGATGGAAGATTTTAAAACACCTGTTTGAGCCTCTCATACGTCAATTTATCATAAAGCTTCAATGAACAAAGCACACTTATCCTGCTTTCGTAAAATAATAATCCCTGTTAAAAACCATCTTACCGTGCTGAGGATGGGTACAGGTGACCAAGTAGAGCCCCAAAAAGAAACTATGGGAGGATTATCAAATAAAGTCCTTTGGCAACGCAACGTCTGGTGCGCTTTTGACACTTCAAGAAAAACAGGGTTTTGAATATCAATTGTCTACAAAATCCCATCCACGGTGACCTTTTTAGTGATGTAGCCTACGTTTGATTTGCTGATATTTAGAGCCGCGTGCATTGCCTATTTGTTCGTTACTACGCACGCATGAGTCACACCATTACCTCCGCTGGTGTTGAATATTTCCACCCAATATCGAACAGATCCGCTTTGTCTGCAAATGTACACATAATAGTGGCGCTTTCAGCTATAACGTGACTTTTGGGAAGTGTTTGATAGCCTTTGACGCTATATACCTCGATTTGGAAACTGATTTAGAATCCCGGTCACGAACCTGGACTTGGGAAGTTTGATCCTATGCAAAACATTACGCGGATATTTGGGATGAAGGAGGGGGGAGGAAAGAGGTCCTTGCCTTTTTCTTGTGAAATAGAATCCACAAGGTGGCAGTAAGGAATCATCAATGATTCCTCCCAGAACTCCACACATGAGTGAAGTGGGCCATTCTGCAAATACTTCACGAATCTAATAATAAACCAACACATTAATCAGATTTGCTACATACCAAAGCTACATGGGTGCAATGGAACGGATCAAGAATAGGCCCAGTGCGCAAGAATAATATTCGACGGAACAAGCTATTCATAGACTAGGCTATAGACTACAGGTTTAATTCTTCAATCAATTAAAATATAAGGCCATCATCATAAATGATCATCCATATAAATACTTGGCACATGGAATTTGAATCTTCATCTTGCAAAGGCTAATATCTTGCATAATCAATAAGTAAGGTCAAAGTATTCTGTTTGGCTGTAAGGTCAATAAGTAAAGCTATTCAACATTTCTGACTCTGAAGCCTCGTTTAAACCTGGTTCTAATATGTGTCCTGTGTCCTGATCTTGGCCACATTCTGATTGTGCTCACATTTTCAGACATGTGTCTACACATCACAGGAGGTTGGTGGCACCTTAATTGGGGAGGATGGGCTCGTGGTAATGGCTGGAGTGGAATGGTATCAAAGACATCAAACACATGGTTTCCAAGTGTTTGATGCCATTCTATTTGCTCCATTCAGGCCATGAGCTGTCCTCCCCTCAGCAGCCTCCTGTGCTACACATGTTATTAAAATGTGTCTCTTATCTGTTCTGGTCCCTCCCTGTATGCAAGTTATTTGACAGATATTCTTTCAAAATAATATTTATTTTGACAAATATTAATGCCACAAGTCATTGGTGACACCTGTCAATGATTTTAGAGGTCGAAATAATGATGATTTAAATGGTTTCACTGTCTATATCCATTTACACTTGCCTGACTATCTCCAGAGGTTGGCAGGAAGATCAAAATCAGATCACAACGTGTCTTTTGATTGACTACACCTGTCTAAAAATGTGGGCACAATCAGAATGTGCACAATATCAGGACAAAGGATGCATGTTAGAACCAGGTATAAATGGGCTTGTGTGACTAACGTCATGAAACATAGCTCTTAAAGCCGATTTATGCTTGATCCGAAAATGTGGTCGGAGACTCAATATGGAGGGTGTGAGGCAAATTTTGTAGTGCCATATAGCTCCGCATTGACATGACTGGTTGACGGTAGGTGGGGGCGGGAGGTCCTGTATAAACACAAACTCACTGCCTTGACAACTTCCTTCACAAAAGCTCTGCTCAACAGCTCTGCGCTGCTCCGCGAAGCGCAAGAAGTATGAATGCCCTGACTTCTGCAGAAGCCGAGCACCGTAAATGCTGCATGGCCAATGCAGACGTCAGATTGACCATGCAGCGCCTTTTAGCCCACTTGAGCATGTGACCTCAGCGGACCTTGGCTGTGTGTCTATGGAGTTTTCAGCACCTGGACAGCTCCTCCAACGTTTTCCAGTTGACGGACTCTGTCAGACCTGTTGTGGTTTCCCAAACTCTATTTGGGCTATTTTACACATCATTGTGATAGGCAACATAATGACAATGTGATCCTGAATATCCCAATGTATCATGTTTGTGATTAATCTGTTTTGATACATTTATCATAATCTATCAAGTGGCAGTCGTAAAAAATCAGACGTCAGAACTTCATTGACATCCAAAGGAAAGTGAAGGCTGCAGTCCTCTTTATCGCGTTGCATAGATCTTATGAACAGCAGTCTCCAGTAGATGGCGCTTCACTCTACCATTGAAACCAGATAAACCTCGAAACCCAGTGTTGAAACCACTTTGAAACTATTATAACCACGGAGAGATTGCCCACAGAATGCAGAGGGAAACACTATTGTAAACCATTTAAGGGGAATGTGAGCATTAAAAACAAATCTAGGCAGTACCGTTCATAAATGAGCCTCTTATTGATAATGTCCTCACTCATCAAAAGCTAGAGTAGGCCTATCAGAGAAAAGGCTAAATGTTGATAACAAAAATGTATGTTCCATTTCAGTGAAAAAACGGTTGAAGCAGTGGAGAGGTTTGGACATCAGGTTAGAGCCCCCATGGTCATACAGTCAAACGACCATGACATCTTTCATCTGCAAAGCAGGATTGTGCTGGCCTGTGTTGATAGGTCTATCATTACCTGGATGAAAGACCAGATGGTACTGGAAGTGGTGTCAGAGGGCCTAGGGGGCATTCTTCCCTCTGAAGGAGACCCCAATGCCCTTGGGGTCTCCTTCAGTGTGCTGTCTTTCAGTTGAGACGCCCTGACATGGTATGGTCACTCAAGCTAAAAGTAGCAGGGATGTGTTAACCCCTCTGGATAAGGCTTGTGTGATGCTGTGCCTGTTTGTGATGAGATGCAAGACACATTTGAATTATTTTCCCTACTTGAACCTCGTACTATCATGGCCATCTATTCCCTGGTTTATAATTAATGATGCACTTTTCACCTCTAGTCCAGTCACAGAGCCAGTTGCATCATGCCACTGCTGCCATCTTTACTTGAGTGATTCACTGTTTCTGAATGTGGAAGTAGGATCCCTCTCTTTCTTTCTTCTTCCTCTGAAGGAGCAGCTGTCAGAGGATTCCCCTTAGCTGTCAGAGGGTGTCAATGGTGTCCCAACAGTCATCTGCATCATCTTCTTCGCCACAGCAATCATTCATGTCTTCGATCTGCTAATGTGGTATCCTTTGACTAGTGAAGAAGCCAAAAACAACTTGGATGTATACGCTGATGTTGGCATGATGGTACATCCAAGCATTTACACAACTTTTCAAACCAGTGTCACAAAATATGTTATCTTGATATAACCATGATTCTCAAGGTTATATTTTATTAATAGGACTTTGAATGAGTAGGTCTTTGTGAAGAATAAAACCAATAAATCCAACTGGGAAAAAAAGGTTATACTAGGTTATATACTTTTATTGCCTTCATACAGTATTCACACCCCTTGACTTTGTCCACATTTTGCTGTGTTACAGCCTGAATTTAAAATGGATAAAACATTTATTTTGTGTCACTGGCCTACACACAATACCCCATAATGTCAAAGTGGAATTATGTTTTGAGACATTTTTTAAATTAATTAAAATAAGTATTCAACCCCTTTGTTATGTCAAGTCTAAATACGTTCAGGAATATAAATGTGTTTAATAAGTCACATAATAAGTTGCATGGACTTATAATAGTGTTTAACATGATTTTTGAATGACTACTTCATCTCTGTACTCCACACATACAATAATTATCTGTAAGGTCCTTCAGTCTAGCAGTGAATTTCAAACACAGATTCAACCACAAAGACCAGGGAGGTTTACCAATGCCTCGCAAATAAGTGCACCTTTTGGTAGATGGGTAAAAAAATAAAAATAAAGCATTGAATATCCCTTTGAGCATGGTGAAGTTATTAATTACACTTTGGATGGTGTATCAATACACCCAGTCACTACAAAGATACAGGCATCCTTCCTAACTCAGTTGCTGGAGGGGAAGGAAACCGCTCAGGGATTTTACCATGAGGCCAATGGTGACTTTAAAACAGTTACAGAGTTTAACGGCTGTGATAAGAGAAAACTGAGGATGGATCAACAACATTTTAGTTACTCCACAATACTAACCTAAATAACAGAGTGAAAAGAAGTCTGTACAGAATAAAAATATTCCAAAACATGTATCCTGTTTGCAATAAGGCACTAAAGAAAACTGTAAAAAAAAAAAAAGTATATTATATTTCGGTGGCTGCATCATGTTATGGGCATGTTTTTCATTGCCAAGGACTAGGGAGTTTTTTTTTAAATAAAAAGAAACAGAATAGAGCTAAGCACAGGCAAAATCCTAGAGGAAAACCTGGTTCAGTCTGCTTTCCATCAGACACTGAGGCTAAATGTACCCTGGAGTTGCTTACCAAGATGACATTGAATGTTCCTGTGTGGTCTAGTTACAGTTTTGACTTAAATCGGCTTGATAATCTATGGCAAGACTTGAAAATGGCTGTCTAGCAATGATCAACAACCAACTTGACAGAGCTTGAAGAAATCTAAAAAGAATAGTGTGCAAATATTGTACAATCCAGGTATGCAAAGCTCTTAGAGACTTACCCAGAAAGACAGCTGTAATCGCTGCCAAAGGTGATTCTAACACGTATTGACTCAGGGGTGTGAATACTTACGTATATTAGATATTTCTCTATTTATTTTTCAATAAATTAGGAAACATTTCTACATGTTTTCACTATGTCATAATGGGGTATTGTGTGTATATGGGTGAGAAAAAAATCGATGTAATCCATTTTGAATTCAGGCTTCAACAACAAAATGTGGAATAAGTCAAGGGGTATGAATACTTTCTGAAGGCACTGTATGTACCATGAAATTGATATGTTTTGATGTGAGACAATGTCACGTGCTGACTTTTTTCAGGAGATGCCTTTTCATCAAAATGGCATGAAATTCTCTCTCTATCATAAAAAATGTTTCTATCATACTAGAATAAGTCAAAGTTAGAATCCAATTTAAGAATTTTGCACGGTTAAATACCCTGCACCCTCTTTCCTTAAAAGCCAATTAAAATATGCAAAAACACAATCCTTTAATTTTCTTATAAAAATGTAAATGACTCAAAATCGCTAGTTAAAATCTGAGGAATTATGATCAAACAATGAAAAAGAAACCTTTATTTCTTTATTGAGTTAAAAGCAATTGGATAATGGAGTAAAGACTGAAAAAAGATCCTTGGGGGAATAAATAAGGCATTATGGTGACATCCATGTGTTAGGGCGGCAGGTAGCTTAGTGGGTAAGAGCGTTGTGCCAGTAACCGAAAGGTCGCTGGTTCTAATCCCCGAGCCGACTAGGTGAAAAATCTGTCGATGTGCCCTTAAGCAAGGCACTTAACCCTAATTGCTCCTGTAAGTCGCTCTGGATAAGAGCGTCTGCTAAAT